TCCTAGGAATTATAGGGAAAACAGACTAAATTTACATTAACAACTAGTAGGTACTCTCTCAGTTATCCTACAGATTGCTGATAAAATTAATCCCAAAACCCTAAAAATTTTATTTAAAATAATTATTTCTAATTATAATAAATTTAAATATACCAGATATGAGCGAAGAAGATATGGCGAAGAAGATAGAAGCGAAGAAGATACAGTGAAGAAGATACGGCGAAGAAGATACGATGAAGAAGATACAGCAAAGAAGATACAGCAAAGAAGATACAGCAAAGAAGATACTGTGATAAAAATACGACTACAAAGATATTGGTTTGTATTAGAATTATCATAATTTCAGATTTTTACTATAAATAAAGTTAATTTTTTATTAGGTCCCAGTCATATTGAATTTCTCGACAACTATTTTCCTAATGATTACTTTTCTAACATAACTACTTTTCTAACAATTACTTTCTAACATATTTATTTCCCAATACTTATTTCCTCAACTATTGTTGTTAGGTGAAACATAGAGGTTTTGCCAATGGTGGATGGTGAAACCTGGTTTCGACTTTTGGCAAAAAAAATTTTAAAATGACAAAATGGTGAAACGGGTGAAAGGTAACGAAACTGACAAAAGGTGACGAAACTGATGAAAGCTAGAAAAAGGCATTGTGTCTCTTATCGAGGAGGTGTTTAGCAATAAATACAATGAAATACAATTATAGGTATTCTGTCTCTGCTGCTTTGTGCAAACCTCCTAGATCAACACAGAATTCAAGAGTGTCGTTAAAGTGCAAATAAGTGCAAAAGTGCAAGTAAGTAAATAAACATGTCAATAAAGTTTATCATGTGCAACATTAATTTGAATATGAATTTTTCTGTGACTATCGTCTCAATAGGCCACTTACACTAGATTTGACTATCATCTAACAGGCCAAAACTGATCCCATTGAGAACAAAAAAACAACCAATTTCTGTGACTGTCATCCGATATATAGTTGTTAGGCGAAACTAAGATAAATGATAAAACCCTTGGTAAATGGTGAAACCCCTGGCGAATAGCAAAACCTGGTTTCAACTTCCAGCAAAAAAATTTAAAAAGACGAAATGGTGAAACTGGCGAAAGGTGACGAAACTGATAGAAGATGATGAAATTAACAAAAACTGGAAAAAGGCATTTTGTCTCTCATCGAGATGGTGTTTAGCAATAAATACAATGAAATACAATTATGAGTATTCTGTCTCTGCTGCTTCATGCAAACCTCCTAGATCAATGCAGAATTCAAGAGTGTCGTTAAAGTGCAAATAAGTGCAAAAGTGCAAGTAAGTAAATAAATGTGTCAATAAAGTTTACCATGTGCAATGTTAATCTGAATGCGAATTTTTCTGTGCCTATCATCCTGATAGGCCATTTACACTAGATTGACTGTCGTCCGACAGGCCAAAACTGATCCTATTGAGAACAAAAAAACAACCAATTTTTGTGACTATCATCTGACATATAGTTGTTAGGTGAAACTGTTTTTTGCAAATAGCGAAACACAAAACTGGCTAAACTAAGACAAATGGTGAAACCCTTAGTGAATGGTGAAACTCCTGGCAAATGATGAAACCTGGTTTTGACTTTTGGCAAAAAAAATTTAAAAAAATGAAATAGTAAAAATAGTAAAAGGTGACGAAACTGATGGAAGGTGATGAAATTGATGAAAACTGAAAAAAGGCATTTTGTCTCTCATCAAGGTGGTGTTTAGCAATAAATACAATAAAATACAATTATGGGTATTCTGTCTCTGCTGCTTCGTGCAAACCTCCTAGATCAACACAGAATTCAAGAGTATCATTAAAGTGCAAATAAGCACAAAAGTGCAAGTAAGTAAATAAACATGTCAATAAAGTTTACCTTATGCAACATTAATCTGAATGTGAATTTTTTCATAACTATCATCCCGATAGGCCACTTATACTAGATTTGACTGTCATCCGACAGACCAAAACTGATTTCATTGAAAACAAAAAAACAACCAATTTCTGTGACTGTCGTCTGACATATAGTTATTAAATGAAACTGTTTTTCGCAAATGACGAAACATGAAACTGGCTAAACTAAGATGAATGGTGAAACCCTTGGTGAATGGTGAAACCTCTAGCAAATGGCAAAACCTTTGGCAAATGGCGAAACCCCTGGCAAATAGTGAAACCCCTAGTGAATGGTGAAACTCCTGGCAAATAGCGAAAGACGAAGTTTAAGCTCTCAGCAAGTTTAATTCTCTAAGGCTTTGGAAAAGACTGAGTTATATTGGAGAATAAAATATTGTATCTATTACACATTGCATATGTGCATATGATTCATTGTACATATATTTTATATGAATAATATGTACACATGCAATGCTTAATAGATACATACAATATTTAATTCTCCAACAAAACTCAGTTTTTCCAAAGCCTTAGAGAATTAAACTTGCTGAGAGCTTGCACTTCGTCTTTCTCTAGGGGTTTCACCATTCGCCAAGGGTTTCATCATTCGTCTTAGTTTCACTGAATTTAGGTTTTGTATTTCACTATTTGCGAAAAACAGTTTCACTAACAACTATATTCTCAATACATTCATTTTCTCAACACTGTGCTAGAAAAATGAATATGTTAGAAAAATAAATGTTGGAAAATGAATATGTCGAGGAAGTAGTTGTCGAAGAATTCAATATTAGGGAAATAACTAGGACATATTTTTTCCTTTTTTCTTTTGTTTATTTGATGTTATCTAATGAAGACCTTAATTCTATAATTATCTGATATGACCAACAGAAAAAAAAAAAAAAAAATCTGACTGACCAACCAAATTTCAGATTTCATATAATTTGTATAACCTAGCATATTGAATTTAGAATTTATATAAAAAAATTCTGTTACATATTACATTACACCTGATTTTCAAACCACATTATAATTTTTAAGAAAAAGCTTTTAATAAATTTTGCACAGTAATATGGAGTTTGTACAATGTACAACATAGTGTATTTATTATCATGGCTTTTTGATTGTCAGGTTATTATCTGCTTTATACAAGATTCATCTGTATTATTTATTTTGTCATGCAGCCTTTTTACTATTTTATGCCTTTTGTTTTCATTGATCTATCTTATTTCGTTTTTGTATAATTTGGAGTTGCACGAAATAGCACTTGCCATTATAATGGTTTACTTTATCCTATAGTTTATATGTGATTCAGATGTTGATATGTGAAATCTTAGACCTGATTGGATAATCAATCCTTGTACTTTGTGTAGCACTCTGAACAATGCTAAAAAGAATGTGAGATTTGCTTGATATATTATGAATGGAGTGCAGCCGGTTTAATATAGCTTATACAAACCTATGTAGATATCTTATTTGTGTATGTACATGCATTTCTGGTTCAAAGTCATGTCTTGTTTTCTAATTGTTTTATTCCTGATCTTACAGGTTTTGACTTCCTATACATCACATGATTTCTATATAAAAAAAAAAGTTAATTTGTTTAAATTGGATTTGATAAAATATAACAATGTCAAGCTATGTCTTGTTCTTGCTTATACCAGGAATGGAGTGCATTGTTTTATAGTAAGTGAAGTGTCTCTACATTATATATGATCCTAAAAATTTATTTGTCTTTCAGTGATCTGCATCACCATATATCATATGCCTAGTAATATGCCGTTTATACCTCAATCTACCTTATAATTTTCCAAGTTCCCTACTTCAACAATTCTAAACTGGGTACCTGTTAGTAAAACGTGTTTACAATTTAATTTTGGTAATAATTTGTCTGGATAACATTCCAAATCTACAAAATAATGTAGCTCTTTGTATGATATCGATATTTTAAATTATTTTAGTTTAACAATAAATAGACTAATTTTAGATTGTGATAATTACCATGTTAAACAAAGTTTTTTTAATTGACTTTAAATTAGGTTAGAATATAAATATAGAAAAATTTATCATATGTAGAGTTAATACTTCAAATATATCCAGTTTGACATTTTATTAAAATTTATTGTTATCATTATAGTAAAACATAGTAATTATAGCAATAGTAACAGTAATTATATTCAGATACATCTTGATATAAAATAAAAAAACACATTTTTCTTTTTGTTCTTAAATCTATCGGTATTATTCAGAGATGCTGCTCATAAATACTAGAATTAGATTAATCCAAAACCTGATCTAACTTGAAATTTTGGATTAGATTCTAGTTTGATTATAATATGATATACAAAAGTGCATATATTTTTGGCATTTATTTACAAAAAAATTTTTATTATAAATGCTGATTATAAATGCTAATCATA